CTTACCTATGGATCTGAGGTCGGGATCCGAGGTGGAGATATACGATCATATACATTACCGATATTTATACCTATCTTGACCATAAATAAGACCTAAAATCCAAAAACTGAGACCCATTTCATGGGCACGTCCCCATTAGGCAAGTTCTATGTATCCCCTGGGCTATAGTTTCCCGGATACACAGGTAACCTAATATATTCAAAGAAAAGGGGAATACCCGAACATTTCTAACACTGGCGTTAGACAACACAATACTAAATATTCGGGATGCGTGTTTTGTCGACGTTAAAGTGTGACGCAAGATTGACTTCGTACCTGACCTGATTCAAGTTGATTCCAAGAAATATCAGAGAGTGTACCCTGGGAAATCTCCCACTAATATTATCTTCCACCATGGTTACTAGTGACCGTGCTTCCACGGAATGACCAGCTATAATCAAACCCCAGGCTGTGTTTGTACAAATGAAAGTGCTGTCATGGGCACTATTTGACAATTTTTGTGATTTTTTTTGTCACTGTGACTGATGTACATTCTTAGTGAGTGACTGCATTTATGCACAGTCATAGGGGTGATCTAGGACTTTCCGCGCGTTTTAAAAATTATGTAAATTCACATTATGACGTCAGAGACCATGAGATCATTGGCAGATTTAGAAGAGCCTGAGGAGTTCACTATTTGTTTCGCCTATACATTAGTTTAAAGGGAATCTCAATCCAAACAACATAATGACCCCTAAAGAAAAAGCTCCACAAATGTAGGAGAATGCAATTTACACTTTTTTATATCAGTTTTCATTCTCTGGATATTCAACTTTTCATCGGTATTATGTAGTCAGCCATCTTGATTCTCAAGCAAAGGATTATGGGTAAAGTATGACATCATAGAATCTGTTGTCAGAAATTGAGAAAATTATTTCATCTATAACTTCAAAAGTTGAACTAGCTAGGGAGTCCCTGATAGATGGACTATGTTTATATGGAAATTGATATTGTATGGCTAGGGAGTCCCTGATAGATGGACTGTGTTTATATGGAAATTTATATTGCACGGCTAGGGAGTTCCTGATAGATGGACTGAGTTTACTGGAAATTTATATTGCACGGCTAGAGAGTCCCAGATAGATGGACTGTGTTTATATGGAAAGTGATATTGTACGGCTAGGGAGTCCCTGATAGATGGACTGTGTTTATATGGAAATTTATATTGCACGGCTAGAGAGTCCCTGATAGATGGACTGTGTTTATATGGAAATTGATATTGCACGGCTAGAGAGTCCCTGATAGATGGACTGTGTTTATATGGAAATTGATATTGCACAGCTAGGGAGTCCCTGATAGATGGACTGTGTTTATATGGAAATTGATATTGCACGGCTAGAGAGTCACCGATAGATGGACTTTGTTTATATGATAGAAATTGATATAGCACGGCTAGGGAGTCCCTGATAGATGAACTGTGTTGATCTGGAAATTGATATTGCACAGCTAGGGAGTCCTTGATAGATGGACTGTGTTTATATGGAATTTGATATTGCATGGCTAGGGAGTCCCTGATAAATGGACTATGTTTATATGGAAATTGATATTGCATGGCTAGGGAGTCTCTGATAGATGAACTGTGTTGATATGGAAATTGATATTGCACGGCTAGGGAGTTCCTGATAGATGGACTGTGTTGATATGGAAATTGATATAGCACGGCTCGGGACTCACCGATAGATAGACCGTGTTTATATGGAATTTGATATTGCACAGCTAGGGAGTCCCTGATAGATGGACTGTGTTTATAGGGAAATTGATATTGCATGGCTAGGGAGTCCCTGGTAGATGGACTGTGTTGATATGGAAATTGATATAGCACGGCTCGGGACTCACTGATAGATAGACCGTGTTTATATGGAATTTGATATTGCACAGCTAGGGAGTCCCTGATAGATGGACTGTGTTTATGTGGAAATTGATATTGCATGGCTAGGGAGTCACCGATAGATGGACTTTGTTTATATGATAGAAATTGATATAGCACGGCTAGGGAGTCCCTGATAGATGAACTGTGTTGATCTGGAAATTGATATTGCACAGCTAGGGAGTCCTTGATAGATGGACTGTGTTTATATGGAATTTGATATTGCATGGCTAGAGAGTCCCTGATAAATGGACTATGTTTATATGGAAATTGATATTGCATGGCTAGGGAGTCCCTGATAGATGGACTGTGTTGATATGGAAATTGATATTGCACGGCTAGGGAGTTCCTGATAGATGGACTATGTTGATATGGAAATTTATATTGTATGGCTAGGGAGTCCCTGATAGATGGACTGAGTTTACTGGAAATTTATATTGTATGGCTAGGGAGTCCCTGATAGATGGACTGAGTTTACTGGAAATTTATATTGTATGGCTAGGGAGTCCCTGATAGATGGACTGTGTTTATATGGAAATTTATATTGTATGGCTAGGGAGTCCCTGATAGATGAACTGTGTTTATATGGAAATTTATATTGTATGGCTAGGGAGTCCCTGATAGATGGACTTTGTTTATATGATAGAAATTGATATAGCACGGCTAGGGAGTTCCTGATAGATGAACTGTGTTGATATAGAAATTGATATTGCACAGATAGGGAGTCCCTGATAGATGGACTGTGTTTACTGTAAATTGATATTGCACGGCTAGGGAGTTCCTGAGAGATGAACTGTGTTGATATGGAAATTGATATTGCACAGCTAGGGAGTCACCGATAGATGGACTGTGTTTATATGGAAATTGATATTGCACGGCTAGGGAGTCATCAATAGATGGACTATGTTTATATGAAAATTGATATTGCACGGCTAGGGAGTCCCTGACAGATGGACTGTGTTTACTGTAAATTGATATTGCACGGCTAGGGAGTCCCTGATAGATGGACTGTGTTGATATGGAAATTGATATTGCACAGCTAGGGAGTCACCGATAGATGGACTGTGTTTATATGGAAATTGATATTGCACGGCTAGGGAGTCATCAATAGATGGACTATGTTTATATGAAAATTGATATTGCACGGCTAGGGAGTCCCTGACAGATGGACTGTGTTTACTGTAAATTGATATTGCACGGCTAGGGAGTCCCTGATAGATGGACTGTGTTGATATGGAAATTGATATTGCACAGCTAGGGAGTCACCGATAGATGGACTGTGTTTATATGGAAATTGATATTGCACGGCTAGGGAGTCATCAATAGATGGACTATGTTTATATGAAAATTGATATTGCACGGCTAGGGAGTCCCTGACAGATGGACTGTGTTTACTGTAAATTGATATTGCACGGCTAGGGAGTCCCTGATAGACGGAGTGTTTATATGGAAATTGGTATTGATAGGTAGCTGTATATAAGCCATACATTTTAAATGGCTAAAACACAGGGAATGACAGCAAATTCTTATGGCTATACACTCACTAACAAATGCTAGCGATGTAATGTGAGCATGACTGGATACTCCTTTTGCGGCCCGAAATCGTGCAGCGGAAGCGATTGAGGGCAGCAAAATCTGTACCTATTCCATAAATGTTTTGACATGTATCTTAAAGGTGTAATTACAATTTTAATATGGCATGGCTGCAAGCACACAACGTAATTTAGAATGACGCGTTTTGTTTACATTGATGAAAGTCAGGCACACTGGGCTGGTGTGATACAGGAAATTATTGCCCTGATATGAGGGCGCACTTTCCATGGTGTTACGAGTCAGGGCAATCGAGGTATGTGATAGAAAGTAATATAATACAATTTAGTATTTGAAATGCGCATTTTTATTTTTAAAATTGTTTGATCAAGTTGCCTTCACCCAAACTCCTGTTGCTGTTGCTGCTGCTGCATTTATCATGAAGGCTTTGACTGTGAAAATATGTGGCAGTATAGTTGATCAGTGGTAATTAAATCTCATGCGCAAGTTGTTACATCACATGCATTCTTTAAGTTATACCCCCCCCCCCACAAATTGTACAACTCTCTATTCAGTCAGCTGGGTACAAGTGTAATAAAATAAATGCAATTTATTTACGATTAATTACTATATAAGTGTCACCATTCTGAATATGGCTCCAAAGACGACAAAAGTTGAGAAATATTTTTTTTTCCAGATTCCTACAAACCAATGGGGTATCCAAAGTGGAAATCACTGTCAACTGCGAGGATCCAATCAGTAGTGTATTGTTTTGGTCACGTAGTTCGGGCACAATGCTGATATTAAAGTAACCTGGAGTTGATTTTTTTTTATAGCATCACCAATATACATTTTCTATTTATGTCAAAAAATGGTCACTATAACTATGGCATTAAGTGCTTTAAAATCCTATGAGGTCTTAGTGATGTGAAATTTTTGTCGCAACTGTCACAAAATCATGTTTTCAAGGTATTTTTTGGTCTAAATACTTGATTGAGTTATTTAGTTAAAAACTGTAAACAATGTGTTAGCAAAATATGTGGTCATTGTTGAGAACATGCCCACCTAACACCTATTTACCAAAGCCAATATACTTTTAATGGGGTCACATGCCAACCTTTAGCCAAAAAGTATTCTGTAATTTTATGGACTTATTTTAGATTACAGCAGAGCTAAAACAGAAATAAACAGAGTCATTGTTGATAGGGTCCACCCAATCTGATTAAAATAAGATCCTGGTTGGCTTAATTTTTAAAATTTTAATTTTAGTATATTTTTTTATTATTAATATTAATTTTTACTATTATTACTAATAATTTTATTGATTACCATTCGTTTTAATATTTGCTCTTTACAATAAATTTGCAGCACCCGGTGGCTTTCATAAACAAACCAATTATCACACCTAAATAATTGTAACATCAAAAAATAATTAAAATAATAATAGTTATATTAAAAAAAAAATTAAGCCAACCAGGACCTTATTTTAATCAGATTGGGTCCTCCAAACACTTATCAATTTTATTAATATTGACTTGGTAGTATCAATATATGATAGCTTAAATTGCTTGGAATTACGTTTATGCATATCAATGGGGTATGTATGTATATATGTATTGAATTCTATCCAATATTAAGAAAGGGAAGTAGCAACAAAGAAACAATAACCATCACCAGCATCACAAACTGCATTCCTTGTTGTTCTGTTTGTAATGTGGTCTTTGTTGAATGGTTCTCATGTGTATTCATTATAGTTTCCCGTGCTTTATTCCATACACCCGGACCCGTGAGTCGATATGTGGCAGGATAGCATGGTCCAAACATTATAGCGTAGGCTAACTTGGGATCTGTCAGTAGAAGCTTCCAGAAATTTGGCTTGGCTCCAATTAAGTCTGCAAGTCTGTCTTGGTATTGTACTAAATTGACCTGAAAAAAAGTAATATTGAGATGAATTCTTGCATAAACAGTACATCACAATTATAGGCAGAGTTATCAATAGCTAGCTTGTAAGGAGTAGATCATTAGTTTCATTTTGATACCTAAATGTAAAGTACAATAGTCATTTTTTTCATCCTGAAAATAGAAAGTTTAATGAGTTATATTATTTTGGTTATTCAGTATGGTAGCATTGATAAAAAGGTAAAACCAAGCCATCCCTTTTTGTTGTTGTAAATAAAATAGAAATAATATCATATACTACCAACATTTTTCCATTAAAATTTTATGTGGTTTCAAAGGTTTGAACATTTTTATCTTTCAAACCCTTTAGTTTTGTACAATTACACTAAAATACTGACATTGTCAGCCATGAAAAGGTATTTATAATCTACAATAACACTGTTTCCTATCGATGTTCCATGACTTCATCATTAGTCATTAGCAAAATAAACGTGAAACAATTGACTTACAACAACTCCATGTTTTCCAAATCTCTCATAGAATTCATCTTTACGTATTTTTATTTCCTTCATCATTGATTCTTCATCAGGTAAGTTGCATAGTCCTTTGAACACTCGAGTTGACCATCTGGCTTGTAGCTCAAAGCCCGGTCCTGCAGATGCAGGACCCCCAACAAAACCAATGAACGCCAAGGTGTGCTTTTTCAGATGAGGCGGAAACACATGTAAATACAGTTCAAGGTTGTCAAACCCATCTATGAAATCAATGAAGGGAGAGAATATAAACAATAACATACTTTATATTACATGCATAATGTATGATTCTTTATTTAAATCAACAAACTACTACTTTCTCCAAAACAACCCCACACATGTTAAAAGATGCAGTGTGCAGTTATAATAATAATAATAAAAATAGTTTAGTACGCAACTGATATCATCCCAAATTGTGACATCATCACACACTTGTCAAAACTTTAGATTTATAACCCTTACCAAATTGTACGCCCCAATAGTATATTAATTGCATACATATTCTGTACTAAAAGTATACTTTTTTTTTTGAAATTGTGTACATTATACAAAATTAAAGTACATACAAGGAAACAGCAGTACATTATTTGCATACACACTTTATACAAATTCATTAATGTGTATTTGTTGTATTGTATAATTTACATATACATAAAATGTAAAATGTATATTATGTATATATTAACAGTACAAATTATTGACTTGGCATCTTAACAAATATAAGTATTATTTATAAGTATACATAGAATGTACAAAAATTGGACTTATGGGATAACACATTTCCCACCAGAGTCGTTTAGAGTTTGCGTAATTTATTTTTTTTTTTTTAAATTTTTTTTTTGTGTGCCAGGCGACAGTTTCGAACATTGAATGTCACTGTTGTCTCTCCTGACCTTTTTGTATGTGCAAATTGCAAGTGCTAGTGCTGACACATAGTGCATTTTGCCACAGAAGTATATTTTCTGTTTGGGACTACATGTACATGACAGGGCTGTGCGGCCATCTCCCTATCAAATAGCAATTTAATGCACTATCCTGGCGTCAACCAGGCTCGGTCAAACACAAGCACTTGCGGACTTTAACCAAGGTTCCCCCAAAGTCACATTCGTAAGTGAATGAATCTCGGCGAGTGGATTGGCCTTTCTATTAAGGCTGTGGCACACTCCCCCAGGGTAGGTGTCGACCCTTTTTGATGTTCAGCCTATGGTAGGATTTAAACTTGGGTCTACCGATCATGAGTCTGATGCGACAACCACTATGCTACCAGCGACCGGTGTGTTTGCCTAATTTGCATATATTAAAAATTATCCTGTTTTGGATCTTAACATGATAATTTTTATGAACTTTTTTTTTATCAATTTAACTAAATTAAAATTTAACTTCCCATTATATATCTAGTTTTGGCATTTTCAGTTGAGCAAAACACACTGAAATAAATCAGTATTCCTCTCACCACAATCAGTTTGTTGTACATCCTTGGCTCACATAATACAATAGTGGAGATACACTTTGTAGTCAGTATATTATACTACAGTGGTATGGTTATGTCCACCACCATAGTGGAGATACACTTTGCAGTCAGTATAT